AAGGAAGAGAGGAAAGAAAAAATGGAGAGAAAGACACAGGAAGAAAGAGAGGAAAGAAAAAATGGAGAGAAAGACACACGGGGAGAAAGGAAGAGAGGAAAGAAAGAAATGGAGAGAAAGACACACAGGGAGAAAGAGAGGAAGAGGGAAGAAAGAAATGGAGAGAAAGACACACGGGGAAAAAGAGAGGAAGAGGGAAGAAAGAAATGGAACGACAAACAGGGTGAAAGGAGAGCGGGGGAGAGAGAGAGAGACCGACACCCACCTGCTGAGCCAGCTCCCTAGTTGGGGCCAGCACCAAGGCCTGGGTCGCTTTCAGGTCCAGCTCAACCTGCTGCAAGATGGAGATGGCAAAGGTGGCTGTCTTCCCAGTGCCAGACTGGGCTTGGGCGATCACATCGTATCCTGGAGGAGGGAAGAGGGTCAGAGTCAACCAGGGTTAGCCACAGCCGGCCCACTCCAGGCAGAAGCCCAAAAGCCCCGCTTCGGTGTGTGTCTCCCCAGCATGAACCAGTGAGCAGCCACTGGGGAGGACGCTGCCCTGGGATGAATGGGGCTGGCTCCTGTCCCCCTGATAGATGTAAGAGGGCAGCCACGGGGAGGGGCGCCTCTTTGCCCATTAGCGGGGGGGGGGGGGGAAAGGGCGCAGGAACCCCCCAGAGGCGCCCCCGTTTTGGGGGGACTGGCTTGCCAACTTGACAAAACTCAGAAGCAGAGCTAGTCCCCACCCCCACCCCCCAAGATCTAAACCCCTCCGTTGCAATCCTGAGCAGCAACTATTCCCCTTCCAGCGTAACTTCTCTTCCTTCCTTAGGACAGGTGCAAATCCCAGAACAGGAAGGAAGGACTCACTGCAATTGGGGGTGGGGGTGGTGGGTTGTCTTCCGACTTGACAGCAACACAGGTGGGCTTGCAACTCCCAGAATTCCTCCTCCTCCAGTCAGGTTAGCTCAGGGATTCTGGGAGTTGAAGTCCACCAGTCTTAAACGTGCCAAGTTGGAAGACCCTTGAGATAGATAAGATATTGCAAATGATTGAGACTACAGAAAAATGATAACTATAGGAAGATAGATAACTATAGAATGATAGATTATGGAAAGAAAGATGATTATAGAAAGAAAGATAACTATAGAAAGAACTAGACAAATGATAACTATAAAAAATCAGACAACTATAAGATGATAGGTAGGTAGAGGTGGATATATTGGATAGAGAGAGAGATTGTGTCAGTCGGTGCTCCATTCAAAATCCAAGAAAGAAATACTTAAGACTCCATAAATTAGAGAAAAGAATTCTTTTACTGAAGAATGAAGTGGTAGCATCAAGTAGGATTCTGAATCTTGAGAAATTAGGCACGCAGATCACATATACAAAGTGTTGGAAACGTTCCCACCCCCCATAGTTCAAAAGATTCTTCCAATTAAAAAAGTTCTGAATATGATCGTGTGGAAATCTTCAGATGGTGATGAGGCCTGTTAGTTGACCTTGGCATATTTTGAAAAAAGGTTTGCAGCTGCGCAGAGAAAGGAAAGCTAAGCGAGAAATAGAAACCTAAAAGCAGGAATTTATACTCCCCCCCCACTCCT